TAAGGTTGGTTAAAGCACTGTTGGATCAATAGTGAGGAAGTGGAAGCTGCATCACACCATGCAGTCACTACCTAGACAAGGCCAGCCCTCAAAAACAGAGTACACAGTGGCTGAAAGTAGAGTGAAGGTGCAGGAGAAAACCATTTCAAGAGTTCTGCATAATTGTGGACTGTATGGGAGAGAGAGAGAGAGAGAGAGAGAGAGAGAGAGAGAGAGAGAGAGAATGTAAAGTGTTTAGGTAAGGCTGCTTTCGGACCCAGTCTGTCAAATCACAAACAGCCCACTGCTAGAATTACGTAACACATTGGTGTTCTGCGTTTTTGGTGGATGGATAGCCCTAGACTTTTCCAGAGAAAGAAACTCAGTTAATCAGAATTCAGAAAATCAGCTGTCATAACTTTATGTGCTTTATGTTCTTCTATGTAGGCTACTTTTCAAACTGATAAATGTGCAGGTGTACAGGTGTTCCTATTAAATTGGGTGGTGAGTGTATATTTATTATAGGGAATATTATATAGTATACCTATAGCAAATACATCTTTGTAATCAGTTATACTGATAAGTCAGTAAATGAATAATTTACCATAATGCTAGACATCCCTGACAGATCCACCAGAGAAGTCTTAGAGAAGTACTGAAGATGAGTAAATGCCTTAAAGAAGAGAACTTCCAGATGAACATGGAGACATCCTGAAGATGTACAGTATTTGTGCTCATGGGGGTAATCCTGAACAGTTTTACACAATTAGTACTGTTATTTTCTCTTTCTAACTGGTAAATATTGTAAATAAGTTGTAAGTATTACATTATTTTTGATTAATTGCCTTAAGGCTTTTGTTTATTTATAGGTCTGTCACTACGTTCTTCAGTGAAATTGACGTAGCTATTTGGCAGCCTAGCTGTTTTTGTCACTGTTTTTGTCTGCATGATTTTGGGAAAGTGTTTTGATGCTCCTTCTTATGAGGACAGACTGAGAGTGAATAAGTTTCTGTCGTCATTAGTTTCCTCGCAGTGGCCAGGGCTGTACAGTGACACAGTCAATTTTGTGACGCAGCTGATTGTTAAGTCACGTGTTCGCGAAGCAGAAAACTCTGACCATTGTTAATGTGTTTATCAGGCAGCAGACTGATAGGTGAGCATATTCTGTGCGGAAATGTCGGAAGAAAGTTTGTTTGAACTGCTGAAGCTTTCCATCGACTCTCCTGAAGGGGGAGTGGTAAACTTTAAGGCCCTGCGCGCGCTGCTGCACGGTATACTGAAGCGCCTGTGCGCGCGGAGGGACGCGGACGCCGGCAGTGATGTGGAGGAGAAAAGCTCAGAGCAGCAGAAGGCGCCGCTGCCGAGTCTCTCAGCCCCGGACACGAGCGCACAAGAGGACAGCGAGGAACGAGTGTCCAAGGTAAAGCCCCCATTCCCTACTTCTGTATCATCTGATCTCCTTTTACTGTCCAGCACTGATGCAATACTACACAAACACATGTAGTGTTGTTGTTTATATGACTCAAGAGAATTAACTCACACTTTTGTAACGTTTACTAATTACTGTTTGTTGCTCTAATGTTTAATAGTTTGCCAGAGAAAGCTTCTTAAGGTGCTGTATTGCTATATTATATTTTCTGGAAATGAGTTCTCTAACTTTAGGAGTTCCTCTTGATCAAGCTCAGCTGGTGGTGGTGGTGTTGTTGCTGCTCTTTCGGCTGCTCCTGTTAGGGGTCACCACAGCAGATCATTGGTCCATGTATTTGATTTGGCACAATTTTTACGCCGGATGACCTTCCCTCCCTAATTATATCCAGGCTTGGGACCGGCACTGAGAGCATACTGTTGCACACAACCCTAGTGACTGGAGTTGGTTCCCTGGTTTGGAAGTGAACCCGGGCCACAGCGGTGAGAGCGGTGTGGCCTAACCACTAGTCCTCCAGGGACCCTGCATTGAAGCTTCAATTATGTGTTTGTAAAAGGGATGAACTGTTTAAACAGCAGTGAAGAAAGCTCTCTGAAACATCTGCTCACTTCCTCACTTGAAATCACTGATCTTTGCATTTTTTTCACTATGCAAGTCTAAAACTATATATATATATACTGTATATTTACATATGTATGTGTGTGTGTGTGTATATATATATATATATATATATATATATATATATATATATATATATATATATATATATATATATATATATATATATATATATACGCAGTTAGGTCCAGAAGTATTTGGACAATGACAGAGTTTTTGTGATTTTGCCTTTATACACCACCACAATGGATAAAACAATCAAGATGTGATCAAAGTGTAGACTTTCAGCTTTATTTTAAGAGGTTCCACAAAAATATGGCATTTACCATTTAGGAATTACAGCCATTTTAAGCAAAGTAACTCCATTTTCAGGGGCTCAAAGGTATTTGGATAAAGTGACATAACTGTAAATATAACCATACTTGTAATACTTGGATGAAAATCCTTTGCAGTCAATGACTGAAGTCTGGAGCCCATGTTCTCAAAACCCAAATTCTGAGTTTCCTCCCTGGAGATGCTTTACCAGGCTTCACTGCAGCCACCTTCAGTTGCTGCTTGTTTGTGGGTCTTTCTGCCTTCAGTCTTGTCTTCAGTAAGTGAAAAGCAGCTCTATTGGGTTGAGATCAGGCGACTGACTTGGCCATTGAAGAATATTCCATTTCTTTGCCTTCAAAAAGTCTTGAGTTGCTTTTGCAGTATGTTTAGGGTCATTATCCACCTG